GTCCTGTCCTCGTCCTGTTCCTCCCCCCCTCTCCCTCCCTCTCTCGCTCGTGCCTTCTCGTCATACCGACAGTTTGCGCTCTCCTGAGGTCCAGTAGGGAAATCTTTGACGGCGTACTCTCCTTCTTCTCTGCTAACAGCATGAGAATACAGACGGCCAGAGGAAATGAGGAGCGGCAGAGCTGGAAGGAGGAGGAGGGAGGAAGAGAAGAACGGAGAACGAGGAGGAGGGAGGGAGGAGGTGATGTTGGTGATGTTGGTGGAGCAGCTGGTGGAGGAGAAGACGAGGAGGAGAAGCGGAGGGAGGAGAGGGGGGCTGTGAAGGTGGAGGGCAGGCAAAGGGAAGCAGATCAAGGAGAGGATTTCACTGGGTTGAGAAGAAACTTTTGGAATGTCTGCGAACAAATCTTGTAGATCATTCCTGTTACAGCAGCATAAGCCAGGAATCTCCTCCTTCTGTCCTCCTTCTCCACCTCCTCCTCTCTCCCCCCTGCCCCCGCTCCTGCCTGCCCATTTTCTTTTCCCTGCTCATTCCTCACTCTCCCTTTCCTTCCCATTCCCTCCTCCTGCTCTATCTTACATGTCAAGGATGTCCGGAGGAGGAGGCCCAAGCTCTTCCCAGATCGTCTTTCTGATCTTCCCCGCTGGCAGCTTCTTCCAGTGCAGCACCTGCGGAGTTGCTTTACCTCCCGTGCTTGCCGTCAACCTTCTGCTCCTGCTCCTGCTCCTGCTCCTCCTCTCTCCTTCTATTCTTCTTTGTCTACGTCCTCGTCCTGGTCTCAATCATCTCACCTTCAACTTCACAGTTTTTGCTTCTCCTTTGCTAGTTGCCTTTCCCCCTCCAGGAGCTGGTGGTGGTGGAGGAGGACCTAACCCTAGAGGAGGAGGAGGAGGAGGAGGAGGTCCCGAACCAAGAGGCAAGGGAGGAGGAGGAGGAGGAGGAGGAAGAGCCTTGTCTTGTGATAGAGGAAGTGGCGGCGGCGGAGGTGGCGGGGGTGGGGATACAAGAGGAGGCAGGAGAGGAGGAGGAGGGGGAGGAGGAGGAGGTGGTGGCGGTGGCGGCGGCGGAGGAGGAGGAGGCCCAAGGGAAGATGGTGGGAGTAATGCAACATCGACAAGGGACGGCTGTTGTTTTGTTTCTGCCCGCTCCTCCTGATCTGAAAAAGAAGATCAATCCCCAGGAGCAGAGATTTGAGGTGACAAAGAAGTGCGGAAGAAGGAGGCGGAGGAAAGGTTGGTCGCAGTGGAAGGTGAACAGCAGAAGCGGCCGCAGTAGCAGGAAAAGTAACAGCGGGTGCAGGTGTCAGAAAAGTGGGAGGAAGAGGAGACTAGAAAGAGATGATGATGATGATGATGATGATGATGATGATGATGATGATGATGATGATGATGATGATGATGATGATGATGTGAACAAGGAGAAGGAGAAGCAGGAGGAGGAGGAAGAGGAAGTGGAAGAGGAAGAGGAAGAGGAGGAGGAGGAGGGTTTTTCACCTCCAAGTATCTCACGTCGTCCCTCATCCGATCGTTCAGCCCCTTCCTTCTCAGCTTTCTGCGTAAGAAACTCCAGTCCCCTCCTGTTGAAAGGGAAACTGAGGAGCTGAAATCAAATTTCTCCTGCTCCCACCCAGCCTCCTCGAGCAAGGAAGGCAATTTGATCCTCGCTTCCTCCTCGACCACAGCAAGGTGTTTCTGTTCGCTCCTCAGCTCCAGCCCTTCACTGCCCTCCCTCTCACCTCCAGCAGATCCTCCGGCATCGCCATGAGATGCAGCAGAAACTTCTGAAGGTTCGAAGCTGCTCCTGCTCCTGCTCCTTCTCCTCCCCCTCCTCCTACACGTGCATGCAAGAGGGCAGCAAGGGACTCCACATCTTTGACCCTCTTGCAGGCATCTCTGTCCATCTGAAAAGAAGAGGAAACGAATGGGGGCGGAGGAGGAGGCAGGAAGAGGCGAAGACGGCAATCATCACATGGAATCATTCAGCTTGTCGCCTCACCTTGTCAGCTTCTTCATACTCATCGAGTCCTCGGAGCAACATCTCCGTATCACAACTTATTGCTTCTTTCTGCCATCATACCAACACTTGTCAAGAACTTCGCTAACGTCCTTCCAGCCTTACCTCCATGTCTGCCGCGGCTCGCAACGCTGCGCAGACTTGAACCATACCAGCACGTTCAAGCTCACAGCGAATCTGCCAAATTTGAGGGGAGGACGAACAAGTGAGGAGGTCGAAGTGAGAGAGAAGAGTGTGGGGGAAGGAGAGAGAGCGAGAGGGAGAACGGGAGAGAAGGGGAGGGAGAGACAGAAAAACTCACTCGGTATCGACTCGCCAGGGCAGGAGGGGAGGAGGCGAGGTGATGGATGACAGCCAGGTGCTTCACTTTGAGCTCCCACGCCTCCTCCTCCCTCAGTCTCCTCACGAGCTCGCTCGCATATCCTCTCCTGCGCTTTTGACGCGCCTCCTCCTCCAGCTGCTGGAGCACCTGAGACGAAGACCTGGCCAGGGAGGAGGGCAGTACGAGACGGGAAGAGGAGGAGAAAAGTGAGAGACGGGAGGAGAAAAGCAGTCAGAGATGAGGTCGTTGGCGGGGAGGAGGAGCTTCACGTACGTCTTGTCCTCCTGCAGGATCGTAGCAGCGATAGCAGAGAGTGCAGCCGAGCGAACGTTGGGAAGTCTGTTTGACAAGCACATCACAAGGATCGATCATGGAGCAAGCATCTGTTCTCACCTCCTCTCCACACATCGTACCATCCCCTTGACCACCTGCTCTCCTCGGACAGTCTCGCTTCCTCCTTTCTTGTCTCTCTTGAGTTGCATGAGGACTTGGAAGCACCGCAGCGCATGCTCGAGCACACGGTCGCTGCCATCTTGCTCCTCTTCCTCCTCCATCCCTCTTTCCAGCAAGCGCTCAAGGGCATTCCACCCTCCTGCTTCATCGAAGGCTCTCAACCAGCCCGTCTCCCTCCTCTCCATCGCTGCTCTCACCAGCATCTGCATCGTCAGCATCCGTCAGTCCTCCCTCCTTCTCCTCGCTCTCCCCACCAGATTTTTCTCCGTCGGTTCAGCCCGGATCAGGAGGGCTGCAGCTTGTGGAGTGATTTCCTGCGAAACTATCAGGCGCAATGTACAACACCTTCTTTGGGTATGCTCACCGGGTTTCTCTCTTCGATCTCACCAAACACCAAGTCCTCGTACTTGGGAAAAAGTACTGAGTCGTTCGCTCCTAATCTGTCCTCTCCCTCTCCCTCTGCTGAATCTGAATCCGTTTCCTCCTCCTCTTCCTCATCGTCGTCGTCGTCTCCGTCCTCCTCCTCCTCCTCGTCTCTGCCCAGAACGTCCTTGCAATCATCCCAATCTTCCTCAGGATCTTCTCCCATCGGCGATTTCTTAGGAGCCAGCACAAGAGATCCCAACATGATCGCTCGCCGAATCTCTTCGATCCCATCGATGCACACCTGCACAACTCCATCACAACCCAGCCATGGCTCTCATCCTCCCCCCCCTCCTCTTCCTCGTCCTCGTCCTTCTCACCTGGATCACCTTGACCCACTCTTGCAGGTCCTTGCCGGTCTCACACTGGAAGAAGAAACTTTTGTTTCCCTGCGCCCAAAGCCCCTGCGCCCAGCTTAGACCCGTTGAACAGAGGAGGAGAGAGGAGGAGGAGGTGGTGGAGGTGGAGGTGGAGCAGCAGCAGGGTGTTGATGAAACGAATGAGAGGCGGGCAAGGTGAGAAGTGGCTGAGGCTGACCAGGCAATTTTTAGTGTAGTAAGGCGGGTCGGAGTCGGAGAGGACTTTGACAACTGACACGCTCGAGAGGTCAATGATGCCGCTGGATTGCGACGTCATGGCAAGGGCCAGAGACGTGGCAAGTGTTTCACTGGCTGAACTTACCGAGGCTCGTCGACCAGCGTGTATTTCTTTTCCGTCTTGTAGTAGAAGATGGAACTGTATCTGTACCATGCTTGTCAAAACTTGTCAAAGTTCGTGAATGAGCATACCTGACGATGTAATAACGTCGCTGCCACATGCGGAAGCTCTTGCCTTTCTTCCAGAGATATCCCTCCTGCAATCCTCTTCAGTATCCTCCTCGTCCTCCTCCTCTCCTCCTCCGTCACCTTGGCTGCTGTTGGACGGACGGCATCAGCTGATGGAAGGGCTCGCAGCGCAGACAGCCATAGCTCCTGGAGAACACAACAGTCATCCAGCCCAGCTGCAGTCCACCACATGCAGGTGAGGAACCTGCACGGCAGGGCCGAGGGCAGCAAAGATTTGAGGCTTCGTGTGCTCGACGAGGAAGTGAACGACGCTGGCCATGGAGATTTCTTCCTTGAGAGCAGAGGAGGAGTCTGCCCCCTTCCCTCTCGCTGCCTTCGGCCCCCCACCCTCCTCAGGCCAATCCTTGCGGTCAGCCTTGAGAATGCGCCTGAGGGCCTTCAATCTCATTTCGGTCTCTTTCTTCGCTCCTCCCTCTCCTTCCGCTCCTTCTCCTCCCCTTCGTTCCTCCTCACTCACCTCAACCTGCTGCACAAGTCCATCTCTGCCGTCCTTGAGCCCTGAAGGGTCTCGATCAACACCTGCCATACTCGTCAGCTCGTTCTCAGGGTCCTTCCCAGCCCCCTCACCCGCCGGAGGGAGGAGGGTCCCAGCTGCAGCATGTGCTCATGGTCGGTCTCCTCGGAGTCGCTGGGCCCTGCTTGCTGCTCGGGAGGTTTCAAGGCGTTTGCTGGGCTTTCTGTGCGCTCTCTACCCTTGGACCCTTCAGCTGCCTTCTTCCCTCGTTTTCCTTCTGACTTTGGCCTCTCAACATGTGCAGAAGTTTGCGCCTCCTGATTGCTCGCCTCTGAATCATCTCTGCTGGGCGTGCAAGACTCTGGAGTATCTAGGGAGGAGAACGAAGGAAGATCGGCGGAGACTTTCGGAGCTAGTCTCGAACGTTCTTGCTGTCCAAGGAAGATGGTAGTGGTTTTCCCTCCCTTCATGACGCAGATGGTGACGTGGCCTTTGCTCTTTCCTTCCTCGATCATCTGAAACATCAAGCTTTATCCTCATAAAAGACGAACTAGCAACCTCACCTCGTCGATCTGGGCCCGGTCAGCCGTTCGCACGTCTAGACTTTCAAGCTGGACCACAACATCCCCCCACGAGAAGGGGAACTGAAGGCATCGGAATGAGCGTCACACCAGAAGCTCTCAAGTCTGACCGGATGGAGTTCGGCAATACTCTGAGGGTCGATGGTACGGATCTGGCCCACCAACATTCAGGCGAATCAAACAAGGCCCAATCAACGGCCTTCACCTCCAATCCCTTCTCCGATCGCTGCAGACGCAACCCAAAGATCTTGAGCACTCGTCAACAGACTCTCTCGCCTGTTCCTCGTGCCCTATCTGCTGGTACCTTCCAGGTGTCGTTGGCTCGCGGAGACTTCCTTCCCTTGGGACCTTGAGCAGTCTCCGAACCTTTCTGCTTCCGTTCCCTTCGGAGGGGAGTTGGGCCTTCAGCAATCTTCTGATGACAGACCGTCCCAGTCAGTCCGGCCGAGCGTGTTGCTCTGTCAGCAGAGGATACCTGCTTCCTAACTTCCGGTGACTCCATGCCTGCTTCCTCGACACTGTGACCACTGAGGCTCAATCGGAATGTTTGCGGGAAGTCCCCGAAGCGAATGAGGTCTCCGTCTTGGAGGACAACGTTTGCTTTCTTTGCGATCTGTGAAGGTGACATCATCACACCAATAAAACAAGACGCAAGACGTCGACACCTCTTTCCCATTGACGAATGTCCCGTTCGAAGACATGTCGTACAGGAAGATCTGCAGGCAAAGATAAGGTTCTGTCGACCCACATCATGTTTCGTACTTGCTCTTTCTGATGGAAGATCCATGCATGTCGACGGGAAACTGAATGGTGTCAACATCAGGGCAAAGAGTCACAACATGCACAGTCGTATACCAGTGACGTGATCTAATAGGATGTTGTTACCCCCATCATGCCGCCCTACCAAGTACTTTTTGGCCTGGGGACATTTGAGATAGGCAGCAAGTTCAGCGAGGAGCATGACACCTTTCCCACTCGGATAACATGAGACGAGCTGTTCTCTGCTAAAAGGTTTCAGACTCTGCCCAGATGTTGGATACCAGGATCAACGGACCGGAAACAAGGCAAGCATCTGTTGATGGCAGTCAGCTCACCATCAGCAGATCGCAACAAGGCACAATCACAGACCTGTCAGGACTGGCTCTGTGGCTCCTGCTGGAATTTCCGCATCATTCTTGTCTGAGCTCTGCATTCCAGTCACGTCTACCTCAGGACGAACAACTTCACCATAATCATTGTCGTTCCTATGGATCATACGCTTGCCTATGACGAATCTTGCTTCGGTTCCCCCTGCCGCATCTGAGCTCAGCAGTTCTCCTCCTGCAGCTCCTCCTGCAGCTCCTCCTGCACCCTCCAGCCATTGCGAGCCGCCAGTTGTCGAGCTCTATCCCGACATGGAGTAGGTGGACAAGTCGCAGCAAAGGACCGATTTCAACTTAACCGGGCCGGGCCCGGAAGCCTCACCTACAGACTCCCGGACGGTCCGATCCCCGGGCCCGGCCGTCTCTGACACCCGGGCCCGCCGCGCGCGGTACGGCCCGCCGGGCCGGCCGGCGAACTGCGGGCCGTTTCACGCCGACTCACACAAAAGTAAGAACCCGGATAAGTTCTTGGAGTCGGTGAAAAGTTCAGAGTAATGTGTCTTACCGGTGAACTAACTTCTCACTGAGCCTCGAAGATGTCGGACCGAGAATTCGGATGTTCAACGGCGTCCGATTACTAGGTGGGTACTTACTACCGGGGGATCGACGAGGGCCTGGAGGCCAATGAGGCAGGGAACAGTGAGAGGGCCCGGGCCGCTTAGGGAACTTCGGACTCCGGAAAGTCGGGGCGGGGCCCCCGAAAGACGGTTTCTTTCATCATCAGTGGAAGTGTTGGAACTCAGCAGGTTGTAAAGCTGTACAGCGTTGAGAACTACCGTTGAAGCTCGGTGTGCTGAGGATCGCAGGTGTACTGAGAGTCAGTGCCAGTGGTGGAACTTGGGGTAAACTGATCATAGTAGAATCTGGCCCGGCCAGCGACGCCCGGGATCGCTCGCCTCGGTGAACAAGGAAACGGCAGCGCTGGACTGTGGTCTCCGAGTCGGCCTCGCCGCAAGACGTCTCAGGAATTTCAAATTACTTTGAATAAAGTCAGAAAGTAGGAAACTGCGACGGGAAACCCCCCTAATAAAAAAGACTCGATATCCTCTGTGAGCTAAGAAACATCACGGTGATCAGGGGTAGTTACGGTCAAAGGGGGGGTTCCGCCACCGCCCCTACACACTACTAGCACCCCACATTCTGCTGGTTGCCGCGACCATGCAGTGGAACTGTCCGAACTGCCAGGCAAGGGAGAAGCTGTGACACAATGCTTGCTTCAGAACTTGTGACGTGAGATGTTTCAGATAATCGTCGATCTGGGCACCTCTGACAAGACGAAGTGCGTAAGTTTGCCGACTTCTTGTTTTGTTGTACCCTGAAGTACCTGACTGTTTGTTTTGTTTCACGATGATTTGTAATTGTTCTTTCTTGAAAGGCGGTGAGAATCAGTGCATGAAAACGATTGGCTGACATGCATTTTGCGATCCTCATCGCTTGTTGCCCGGATGGATGGAATGTGGCGGGATAGTCGGTAAGGAACGATTATGAATGATGTGCTCGAATGGCTGACATTTGGTTTTGCCTTTTTCTCGCTTGTTTCTCGGATGTACGGAACGTTACTGGATAGTATGTAAGTAACGATTATGAATGATGCGCCCAGGGAACGATTGGCTGACATATGCCTTGCAATTCTTTTTGCCCGGGTGGACTGTTGATGGGGCTGGATAGTACGTGAGTAACGATTATGAAAGATGCGCTCAGGGAACGATTAGACTGACAATTTCATTTTTTTTCTTGCTCGGATGGATGGAACTTGGGCCTGATAGCGAGTAAGTATCATATGAAATGATGCGGGCAGGGAACGATTGGACTTTGATAAATTATCTAGACCTTCGTTCGGGATGACAATGGCACCTGCAAGTGGTGTGCAGAAACGGAGGAAGATCACAGGGGCGATAAGAAGGTTTGCCCGGTGAAGCCCATCATTCCCTTAAGAAAGAAATAATTTGACTGACTTGCACTTTGTAATGACTGTTGTTTCTGCTGGATGGATGAAACTTGGGCTGATAGCGAGTATGTATCATATGCTATGATGCGGTCAGGGAACGATTGGATTGTAATTCTACAACAGGCAAGTTTCCAAGCTGGAGCCGAAGGAAAGTGCAAGATCTGCTCCATGCTTGAAAAGGATCATCATGGATCTTCCAAGTCCTGCTATGTAAGCAGCCTTTTGCTCAGGGAACGATTGGACTTTGATAAATTATCTAGACCTTCGTTCGGGATGACAATGGCACCTGCAAGTGGTGTGCAGAAACGGAGGAAGATCACAGGGGCGATAAGAAGGTTTGCCCGGTGAAGCCCATCATTCCCTTAAGAAAGAAATAATTTGACTGACTTGCACTTTGTAATGACTGTTGTTTCTGCTGGATGGATGAAACTTGGGCTGATAGCGAGTATGTATCATATGCTATGATGCGGTCAGGGAACGATTGGCTGACATAAACCTTGCAATTCTCATTTTTCCCTTGCTTGGATGGACGGGATTGGTCTGCATAGGGAGTAAGTATCACATGCAATAATGCGGTCAGGGAACGATTGGCTCATATGGTTTTGTGTTTTTGTCGTTGTTTTCACCTGACGGACTGCTCGTGGGGCGAGATAGCCAGTAAGTAACGAGTTTGACTGATGCACTCAGGGAACAGTTGGCTGACGTGTGTTCTGCAATTCTCATCGCTTGTTGCCCGGATGGATGGAATGTGGCGGTATAGAATGTAAGTGACGAGGATGATGACTGATGCGCTCAAGGAACGATTGGCTGACATGTACTTGCAAACTCTATTCTTTCTCCTTGGATGGATGAAATGTGGGCCTGATAGGGAGTAAGTATCATATGCTATGACGGAGTCGGGGAACGATTGGCTGACATGCATTTGTGTTTTATTCGGGTTTTTATCGATGGACTGTTGATGGGTCTGGATAGCCGGTATCACTTTCCTGATGCGCCCAGGGAACGATTGGCTGACATAAACCTTGCAATTCTTTTTGCCCGGGTGGACTGTTGATGGGGCTGGATAGTACGTGAGTAACGATTATGAAAGATGCGCTCAGGGAACGATTAGACTGACAATTTCATTTTTTTTCTTGCTCGGATGGATGGAACTTGGGCCTGATAGCGAGTAAGTATCATATGAAATGATGCGGGCAGTGAACGATTTGGGTGACATTTGTTTTACAAATCCTATATTTTCATGGCTTGGATGGATGGAATCCGTCTCCATAGAAAGTAAGTAACACATGCAATGATGCACTCAGAGAACGATTTGCTGACATTTGGTTTGCGTATTTATCGGTGATTGCTCGGATGGACTGTTGATGGGGCTGGATAGTATGTAAGTAACGATGATGAAAGATGCGCTCAGGTGACGAGAGGGACTGACATATGGTTTTGCGTTTTTTCGTTTTGGCATCGGCTGGGATGTGAATGGGACTGGATAGATGGTAAGTAACAATCTTGAAAGATGCGGTCAGGAAACGATTGGACTGACATGGTATTGTGATTTTGTACGGTTAATGCCCGGATGGACTGTCGATGGGACTGGATAGGATGTAAGTGACGATTGTGAATGCTGCGCTCAGGGAACGATTGGCTGACATGCATTTGGCATATTTCATCGTTTGTTGCTCGGATTGTACTCTCGATGGGGCTGGAAAGGATGTAAGTGACGAATATGCACGCTAAGAGGACGATTGGCTGACATTTCATTGTGCAAATCCTTATGTTTCTGCTTGAATGGTTTGGGATAGTGTGTGAGTACCGAATGCAATTGATGCGGCACAGAGGTTGTGGGGACTAACATTCCTTTTTCCTCCTTTTTCGTATGGCTGTGACTCACATCGTCAGTGCTGTGTAAGAATTGCCGTTGTACTTTCTTTGAAGCCCTCCTAATTTTGTGTTGTTGTACATTGCTGGTGAAAACAACCATGGCAGAATGTAAGTTGAGCAGATCGAGAGAGATAGACCTGTCGCTGAATGTGATGATTGACTTCGGCGTTCAGTGCGGCAGGTCCAAAGGATGGGAGAATTACAATGAGGTGCTTCTTTGTGCCTGTGATGAGACTTGACAGATGGTGTGCGTAGCGCGGATGCAGCCATTGCAAGCAACGCTTCAAACAGGAAAACCAGGCGGCACAAGCCAAGAAGGAGCGGAAAAAGAGGACAAGGGAGGAGCGGGTGTGAGAGAGTACACCACGTTGAGGTTATTCAGACGGTACCCAGCCAAGTGCTCTGACTTTACAACTGTAGGATATGCTGTGTGTTTCTTATGCACATTACTGTGACAGAGTAGTAAGATTGTGACACGTATTCAAGGAATAAGTGTTGAAGGAATAAGTGGATGAAGTGCAAGAAAGCATTTATAAACTCTCACAACAACAACACAGAGAACAGCTTGACGATGGGACTTTGAGTTGAGACAGTTACTCTGTTTCATACATAACTGTCTGTCTTCTGACACCCTTCCTCGAAGACATCGTTGATTGGGTTGACAGATTTGACGTCGAAAGCTGAGAATGACAACTGATGATATATCGATGTTGATGCTTGTATCCTCATGAAGATTCATGAATGTCAGATTGTCCAGTTCCGAGTTCCTTTTCGTGAATAAAATATTTGCTCCGATCCCTTCCGATGATGACAATGATGTACTGCAATTGCCTCGTCAAAGCAAAGTTGAATCAGAAGTTACCAATGATATGATGCTGCCCTTCTTGAATTTGAACCTCCTCATAGCTTCTTGACATCTTTCGACGCAAGAGATCTGCTGATGGAGTCGCTCAAATCTTGATGCCACGCTGATCTTCTACTTCTTCCCCCGAAGGTGTCAAGAAGAGCCGGTCAGAAGAAATGCAAGCGCGCTGGGGTTGTGCAGCTTGATCACGGAGGCGTCCAAAAGATACACGAAAATGGATCGTCGTAAGCAGATCCGAAAATGAAATATTTCAATGACGCTTGTTTGAACTTCCTTCACGTAATGGAAGGGCATATTGAAATGTTTTGATCGTGTCTGATGAGACGATCCTTGAGAAAATTGAATGACAGCTGTGTTGTCCACAAAGACTCGAGCTGGAGTTAATGATGGAATCTGCAGCTCTGAAAGAAGATTGTGCAAATAAATGATATCATACGTTGCCATCGATAAAGAGTAGAGCTCTGCTTCCATGGAAAATGCCTTACAGTGTGGTACAGATAATTGATGTTTCACTGATCCTCAATCGATTGCATCTGGTACAACCTGTCGTTCCTTCTCCAGCGGACATAGTGAATGGTCTCCAAACCAGCAGCTGTTGTACAGTATAAGTGTTGTGCTCTATGCTAGCCTTAAGACCGAAAGTAAAAAGATTATGGCGAAAGCAACATACTATATGATGGTGGTACGGTATTATTCTAATTCTAAATGGTCACATCAAGACAGAGTCAAACGTATTGAGAAATTGCAGCAAGCATCGCCGCGGCGGTGGAGGGCTGGGAGAGTAGATGAGATGCAAGTGATTGATACGGTGTGAGATGTCATTGCTCTTGCAGAGAGCTCTACCGTCATTGCTTTCCTTGCTACGGTTTCTGCCTCGACGTTTTATGTCTCATCACGATCTCGCTGTTAGGCATTGTTTGAAAGACATTCTCGCAAGGTTGCCAGGTCGACATCAGTAAAGAAAACTTTGGATCTGTATGATGATACCTCGAATGCATGACGAGCGCAATGCATTCTACGGCTTCAGATCTTGCAATTCTGGACATATAGACTTAGATTGATTGCCGTCTACCTGTGAGTTTGTTGATAATGGTAGAATGAATTCTTGAGCTCACGATCGATGTTGATGGAATGCTTTGTATGATTCGCCCCCTTTCTGCATGAAAGCACACTGATGCTCATGCTTGACAAAGGCTGGTCACATGTCTGATTGCTTGCAGCACACTCATCAAATAATTCATCTCTCCATGTGGAGGTGTTCCCATTCAGGTTCACACCAATGGATGTGCAAAGAGCATGGCAAGAAAACGATGCTAATCAGAAGGGGAAGGTGCCGACCTGGTGGGATCAGAGGAGAAGCAGGGCATAAGGCTGGCGATGCATTCCAATATCAAGTACAGCTGTGGCCGCGTCCCGTGCTAGATAAGCTGAAATTGTCGATCTCATATAGAGAACAATTATGTTGAGATTTGAAGGTATTCTGAATAAGACTCTGCCTGGCAGCACACGTATAACGTACCTGAGCCGGGGACTTAGGTTGGCTGCAGTGGGGAATGCCATGCCGTCTGTGGCGCTGCTCGTCAGCTCTGTCAGGTATGAGACCGCTGGAGACCAGCAAGCACGTCGATCGGAAAGTATATGAAACGCGGCAGGAGATTAATGAAATCATGAACCAATGAAAATGGACATTTTAGGAGGCTCGTTGAACAATCTTTGGCGTCTGTCAACCACGAATTTTTTTTCGTGAAACAATGTTTCAAAAAGAGTTGTTCATTCACCAAGGTTTCATTTGTCAACTGAGGCGCACGGAAGCGTTCCGACGGGGCTTGTGACATGCACAAGAGCAAACGTGAAAGGCAATGAATTGAATGAGACCCGAACTTACGAACACAACATCTTCGTCATGGCATTAGACGAGTCCCAGGGCACTCATCCTATTTGTTGTGGTACGGTCCAATGCAATCATATCTGTAACATTGGAAGTACGGTCGCGGAAACTTGTTTCTCTCCCCAGCTCGAACCATGGCGTCTAGCATTCCTCTCTCCCCTCCCTCCCTCCCTCCCCTCCCTCCCCTCCCTACCTGGTTCCCCTGACTCCCTGCCTGTCTCTAACCCTGCCACCCTCGCCATCCCTACCATATATTCATTATGTTCATCACATATGCATGAGCATATCATAATTCGTTTGGTTGAATACTGACAAAACAAGCATCAACCTCATCCCGCCATCGCGCTACTCCGAGAAATTCTTTCAAAAATAGAAAAGTTGTCCATGAGGAAACTTGAGTAAACTTTTACTTGGGACCGCCCGTTGCTCCCGGCGAGCGACGGAATGTCGGGCAGGAGGGAGGAGGTGGCATGCTCGAGCGTGGAGGAGGTGGTGGAGGGCGGGAGAGGGATTGGATATCCCATCCTCCTACGGGGAAGAGGGGGCAGAGATGCAGGTCGAGTCATCGATGACTGGAGAAGTGCCGCGTCGGAGGAGGAGGCCAGAAGCATCGCCAAGTTCATGTTCGCACAACACAAGTTGCTGCTGCCTGTCCGCAAGAAGAGGCTCGAGATGATGATGAAACGACAAGCGCAGAAGAAGCTGAGCGAGTACGAGCTGCATGAAGTGAGAGATGAGATCAAAAGTCTCTCTCTTGCCATTGAAAGTCTCAAGATCTTCGTTTCTTCAAGCAGCATGAAAGCCAAGGCGATTCGAGAATATCGCGGAAGCAGTCTGTGGGATCCGAATCTCTGCCAGTCTTACATGCCATGCGACAATGCGACTTTGCTGCTCCGAGCGGCCTACACTGCTGACTCGGAATCCATCTCCAACTTCCCGGTCGCGGTGGAGCTATGGCAGGACCACCTGGAGCGGCAGGAGCAGCCGAGGAAGCTTGCTCCTCTGATCGAGAGGGTCGAGTACGACCTGATGGAGCTGAGAGGAGTAGAAAGCAAGGAAGAGATTCAGCAGCTTAAGATCGCAAGGCTAGAAAGCGAACTAGAAACGCTCAAGAGGGAACAGGAGGTACTTGAAGCCGACTCAGCGCTATCAGTGAGAGAGATTGAAGGTTGAAGCATGCCTCCCGCTGATCTCTAACTTGATCTCACTGCTTCCCAACAGATATGAAGCAGAAACAATTCAAATTCCCTCGACAAGACGTGGAAGAGGATTTAGATATCGACAGAAAGCTGCAGGAGATCGAGGACGATCAGACCTTGTCCCAAGGACGAAAGCGCGTCGCCAAGGCAAAACTCCTGCAAGAAAAGTCAGACCATGAAGACAAACAGAGGCATCCGGCTTCAAGACAGACAAGCTCGCTGATCAATGAGTGGAACAATCAATACCTGAGGTGGATGCCTGTACAACTGAGCGCTTCTACGGGAGATGCTTCCAGCTTCTCTCGCCTGCTGGACCTCGGAGCTTACATTGCAACCGATGAGCTTCTGAGGAAGAAGCAGCTGAAAGAGGAGAACATCGGGAAGCTCTGCCGTGAGAACCAGATCTCTGAATCGAGAATAAGGTCGTTGCAATCGGACATTGCTGCAGTCCAGGAACAGATAGACAAAAATGAAAGGTCGATAGCATCTCCCAACCTCTCTCCGGCAGAATTCAGCCAACTCCAGTCTGAGCTCAGAATAGGCCGGGAAAGGCTCTTGTCCTTGCAAAGAGGTGCGTCTGGTGGGAGCCCCGCCCCGGGACTTTGACGTGCTTGTGCAGATCTTGCGAGCATCCAGGAATCAGTTGAAGAGAAGGCAAACGAGGTGAACAAGGAGCAAGTGAAAGTTCATGTGATCTCAAGATGTTTGGGTCACCTCATCTCTTGTTCTTGATTCTGGTGGAATGAGATTGTTCCAGGCGATCATTTCTCCGTGTCTGCTCTTCATGTTGCTTGTCAGTATGGTCACGAGGGGATAGTAGAAGAGATTTTACAGGCACGTCAGTGACTGTCTGAGATGAGCTGACATGAATGAAACAGCGAGGAGGCACTGTTGATATCAGCGATTTGAGGGGCCAGACCCCACTTCATTGTAAATTCATCCTTTGATTTCTCCGCTGAAGTTGTTATCAGATGCTTCTGCCTACGGCAATTACGCATGCATCAATGTCTTCTCTCGGTATCTGAGCGAAGGTTTTCAATCTGCTATTTCTCTGTCTCTTCTGAACAAGAACAAGACAAAATCAGGAAGTTGTGCTCCATGCACGACAAGTACAATCAGGTGATGTTCCAACATGTCAGCCGAGTGAATGATGTAGCGCTCATCTCAGCGCTTTATGGACTACGCGAATGACCCGCGCTGTCGAGCTGCAATCTCACGTTTACTCGCGGTAGTTCTCCCGACAGTTTCCTCCCTTCCCATTGACACAAGAGCAGAAGGTGGGGGAAGGTAACGGTGGAGCTAGTGGGCATTCTCAGGTTTGCCGCACCGGCTCGCTTGCTGCTCTGATCTCCCTCAGGATCCTTCAAGCTGGAGTCAAGCCCCCAGCAGAGCGGTAAAGCAGCATGTAACTCTTGAAAGCCCATCTAACCCTCCGACAGTCTTTCTCTCATGCCACCACACCTGGAGCGTTTTCAACTTAGAGGTGCTCGAGGAGTTGTACTGAAAGCTTTATTCCATTATCTCTGCTCTCTTGCGTGGTCCCATCTGAGGGCTGGCCAAGTGCTGAGAGCTTTCGCTTTCATCCAGCACTTCTCCTAGTGTACATGGTTGGCCGGAGCTGCCGAGTGCTGCGCTGAGGCTCACGCGCCGTCGGGTTTCAGCAGTCCAGCCTGGAGCTGAGAGAGAGTCATGGTCCCGAAGGGGGAGGCCTCAGGAGTCAGTCCGGATGAGATGGATGCCTCGGGCCCGCTGCCTGAGGGTAACAAGGAGCTGAACAAGGAGATGCCAAGTGGCGTCTCTGGTGGCAGACAATTGTTCGTCGGCGAGTCGAAGATTCCCTTGCTGGTCTCCTCGCCTTTCAGCGGGTTGATTTGGTTGGATGCGCCTCCAGAGACGTTACCGCTGGTGTTGTTGCTGCTCGAACCTTGCGTGCCTTGTTGGTTCTCGTTCTCCTGACTCTCGTTTCCTTCATCCGGGGAAGATGAGCCTTCCTTTTCCTTGCCTCCCGACCAGTAGGTCTTGATGGAGCTTGGCGTGATGTCATGGATGGAGTTGCGGCGCTTCTCCTTCTTCTTAGCAGCATTTTGTTGTCTGACAAAGTACTTCTGGGCATGACTAGCGACTTGGGTGGGAGTCCTAGTGACGACGCAATGCTTTGATATGTTCCGCCAATCTCCCTTCCCAAATCTTTCCAATCCTTCCAAGAAACGTCTATGTTCTTCTTCGGTCCAAGACAGCCCATGAGTCTCAAGTTTTCCCTTTTCTTTTCCAGACTTCTTCCCTGTAGCCTGGTCAATCGGACTTGAGGAAGATTGACCCGCTCCACGAGCTCTAAGCAGATTTTGCAGCCACGTGTAGTAGCTCTGAACATCATCGGCACTCTTGTTTGGTAACAGAGAGGCAATCCGCATCCAACTGCACATGTGTCAAAACTTGCGGGGAGAGCAACGAAGCTAACCGGTCGTCATCATTGGGATCTATCTCTGATATCTTGTCTTCGAAAATACGAGCTTCTTCAGGTGTCCAGACCACACCCTGACCATGAGTTCAGGGCGTGAAAGCAAACATTCGAGGGGAGCTACGACCTGTGGCTTGGATTGCGTAGGATCGTTGGAACTCGAAGACAGCTCGCCTCCAAATGGAACAATGAAGGAGGACGACATGTATGGTTGCATAGCTTGGCTAGACATGTTTTGATCTGACGAAAGAACGTTCTCTGTTGGAATCCTTCGCTCTCTCTCGAGCTTGAGAAAGTATTGCTGAGCATGAACCTTGTAAAGCAGTCACGCGAAAGCTCAGACAGCATTGATCGACTTGTCACCTTGACCTCGTTCTCACTCTTCCCCACTTCCTTGGCAATCTTTTCCCATTCGTTCCCGTTGATGTTTGAGTCCAACTCGTCGAGTGCTCTCAAGAACTTCATGTGTTCCTGCACATTTTCAGACTACCAACACAACCATAGCAAAGACGAAGTTTACACCTCACGGGTAAACTTCGTTCCGTTTGACATGTCTGGAGGGAGTGATCCTCCGCCAGGATCACGTCCTGACGGTGACTGCCACTATTCATGAGCACACGCCATCGATTTTCATTTGATGGACATACTTGCAGGAGAAACGGAAAATTTCCATGCATTCCGCCCGAGACAGAGGGAGAAAACTAATCAACAATGTCAGAACGGCTTCTTCATATTGAGTTCCCTGGTTCACTCCTTACTTGAGAAGGCGGGAAGGTGGGAGGAAAACCAGAATTCTGAAAGCTGCATTAAGCGTCAGCATGCCAGCAGTCAAAACCAGTTTTTAAGAGCAGCAACTGGAAAACTTCAAGCTGAAGGAGAATATTGAATGGAGACGAGGTAGCGAGAAAAAGGAAAACAACGAGATACACAACTATAGCCTATTCTTATCTAAGCAAGGTCATTCCTGTCAGCAGAAAGTTGGGCAACGTGTAAGGAAATGGAAGAGCGGAAAGGGAACAGGATTAGACGAGAAGGAAGTCAAAATTAACACATTTAGAAGAAGTCAGGATACGTGAAGACAGAGGTTGAAACACAAGGATATAAAGTTAAACTGAAACTGGAGAAGGGTGAGGAATGGCCTTAATAGGCAGGAAGAACCAGGAAGAATATGCGTGTGTTCCAGGAAGACTAAAGAAGAATCTATATGTATCTCAAGAAGGGTTTAGGAAAGCATCAAGGATAGGAGGAGTCCTAGGGCGGAAATTATTTGAGGAAGCAGGAAGAGGTTGATGGAGGTAGAAGGATGTTGAAGGAGGCTGAAGAAGGGTAGGTAGGAGGACGAAGGAGTGGAAATCACAAGGGAGTAAGGAAGAAATAGTAACGGAGAAAAGAAGAGAAGAGGATGAAGGTCGGAGGAGGAAGGACACAGTTGAAGCAGGTCTGTGTAGGATGAAGGAGAAGACAGGAGGAGATTGAGAGCAGAGGAGGAAAGAGATTTGCAGTGCACGAGCTCAGTGTGTACACAATCATCTCCGCTCACCCTTGCATTTTCGATGCAAAATGAATCAGTATGGATGGAGAGTAAATGTTGACCACAAAATATAAAACTTTAAACATTTTCCCGAATATACCTTTATCAACTTTTGAAATTTAATTTCAAATTGCATGATTATTCTCAATTCGTTGTGTACCAAACCCAAAATGGCGGTATTATTTCCAGTTGCTTTATCCAACAACGCCCCCATACTACCCTTCTCTTTAGCGTACCCATCAACATCCACCCCACGTCACTACCTTGATCACCCCCTGGATTAGGCCCATAGCAAGAACAACAGCCTTCACTACCCACCCTGGAGAGTTCTCTTTCCCCTCATCCCCGCTCAACAGCATGGATCAGCAAAAAATTTCACCGGCTCCAAAACAAATTGCCTCTAGCGTGGCTCGAACACGCGACCTCACGCTTACTAAGCGTGCGCTCTGACCAACTGAGCTATAGAGGCTCATGACGTCATCATGTCCCCCTAAACTTCATGTAGCCGCCATGAGTTCGCCTTTCGCTAGCTCCACTCACGATCCAGGCTCATCTCTGACAGACCTCCTCTGCCATCATACCTACACACGTCTTCCATCCTAGCACAGACACCTTACCAACATCCTTAACATGCAATTCACTTTCGATGACGATGCGGACTTTCATCGTGTTGGATGTATGGTACGCAGTGCCGTCGGAGAGAAGGTTGCTTCCCCTTTACAAACTCTGAGTATCGCTCTAAGTCCGTTTCTTTCAAAAGGAGTATGGTGATGAGGAGAAACTGCTGCTGCAAAGGATTGAAGAAGAGAAGGGCAGGGAGCATGATGAAGCTTCGGAACGTAGGAAAAAGGTTGATGAGGAACGGATTCAACAGCTCCAGCTTCAGCTCAATACCTTGAAGAGTGTAGGTATTAAGGTCACTTTTCTTCTCGAACCCCCTGTATGATTGTAAGAGATAGACGAATGGTCAGCGTTTGCCCAGCAAGGTGACGATTTGTATGGCGCAATTCCAAGGCAAGGAGGATCCGAGGTTGTCGATAATTGATGTGTCTTGTCTTAACCCCATTTGATTTTCTTTTCCAGAGCAAGGAACACGAAGGAGAGACTTTGGAAACAATTACAAGAGGGTACTCATTATGTGCTGCTCACATGCTGAGACATCTGATGACCATCGAATCGGTAGGGTGCATCAAAGGCAACAAGAGGAGGAACAGAGAAGGCGCAAGGTGAGTGAGAATGAACGCATATGTCATATCATCGTAGTGATCTCTTTACCACCAGGATGAAGATGAAATCATCGCGAGATTGCAGCGAGAAATCGAGGTTTTCGCTGAACTCTTATCTCTTCCGACATTTCGGTTGACTTGAGGTGTTGCTTTTCCTACGGCAGGCAAAGCTCTGCAGCGAAACCTGAAAACTTAACTGACCTGTTAAGTTTGGGGGACAGCAGTGTGGGCCGGATGAGAGTTGGTTCTCACTGTCTTTTCTCTCAGAGGTTCTCGCCGTATCATGCCTGTGTGGGACAGTGTTTTTTTTAAACTTAAACCAAGTACTCGATTAATCTAATCATACTACGAGTACATCATTCAACGTCGCAGCCGAAGGTGACCGTACGGGGCAGCGCCCGGCGGGGCCGGGGGAGTCGCGCGGCACTACCGTACGGTACTAGTGACACAAGTCACTGAACGCCCGCGGCCGGGCCAGTCGCCCCGGGACCGCCGGGCGGCGCCGCGCCGGGCGGCCCGCCGCCCGGCTCATGTGGCACATGATATCGTCCGAGGCTGTGCCACGGTGAAGGGTGGCAAAGAGTACATAAAGTGTTGAGGGACAATGATGTCATGAGCCTCTATAGCTCAGTTGGTCAGAGCGCACGCTTAGTAAGCGTGAGGTCGCGTGTTCGAGCCACGCTAGAGGCAATATCCTTTTGCTGGCCGTGCTGGGCACAGTTTCTGTTTCCTTGTGTCAAGTTTTAATTTTTGACAGTAATTTTTGAAATCTTGACCCACCGACCCACCGACCCACCGACCCACCGACCCACCGACCCGACCCACCGACCCACCGACCCACCGAACCACCGACCCACCGAACCACCGACCCACCGACCCACCGACCCACCGACCCACCGACCCACCGACCCACCGACCCACCGACCCACCGACCCACCGACCCACCGACCCCTACCAAAAAGGCAGATGTACCCCCGTGCTCAAGTACAAAAAGCGCATGAAAAAAAAAGACGGCAGCGAGTACCCCCTGGTCAAAAAATAACGGCCATAGCACGTTGGCTCTCACCACTCGGAATCGAACCAAGGACACTCTGATGTCTGCGAATCTCTACAGTCAGATGCTCTGCCAACTGAGCTATGGTGAGCCACGGCCGTGGTACTTCGTGGTTCCCTACTGTTTATATATCGCATTATTTTATTGCCGATTTATCTTCTTCTGCTCAGAGTTTATTGCAAATTTATGCAAAATTGGTGGACACATTTACAGAATAATGCGAAGAGTTGCGTTCCGCGTTCAGTTTTATTTAAGCTTTTCCGTTGCTGGGATGTAACGGAGGCACGGCACCCTGCCGGCGGAAATAGAGCGATGGCTGATGGCGATGAGGTGAGCAGAGCGCTGGGGTGTAGCAAGAAATGGCGAAAGAGAGGGAAGAGAAGAGGACATGTGCGAGATACATGGCACATGAGAGGGCATAGGTGAGCATGTGCGGGGCTCAGACATGTGTTGCGTTCATGAGAGACGTCTAGTCTTTGGTCAAGGATTGCACGGAACGATCCTTCTGGAGTTCCATCAGTGTTTGCAATCTTATAGCTCTCACATCGTCCATCTCAAGTTGATCATCGTTGCTGACTGACGAGCACCCTTATCCTATTCCGTTGTTCTGATCGTTTTCTTCCTCTTTCTCTGCAGTCGAAGACGCCAGGGTTCTCGGTGGGGGGAGAAGAAATTGCGAGGTGAAACGGTCTGTTGATTCCCGTCCTGCCTCTCACTCTCGAGCCAGCAGGCGAAGTCTCCTCTCATTTTCTGCCCGTGTGGCTGTCACCTCTGCCTCTCTTCTCTGCTTGCTCCTCTGCTGTTGGAGCTTGCGCAATGCTGAGGAAGGGCCCAACCAATTGTTCCAGACCGTCGCTCCCGCGTACGTCGAGCTTCACCGTCATCTCAGCCCTGCTCTGATGCAGGCTGCCAAGGCCGTCATGGCGGCAAGAGTTGCGCTGAGAAGGAGATCCGCCCCCGCTCCTTCCTTGACCGTACAACCCGTTGAGAGAGCAGTGCAGCAGGTTTACCCGGTGTTGCCTGCTCCCTTCTCCTACGTAGGTTCGAGCCCATGGAGTCGCTACGCAGCTCCAACCTTGAGCTACCCAGGAGCAGGTCAGCAGCCTCAACCACCGGCCATCGTCAGCCCCTGGCGTCTATCTCCTGCCTTCTCCTCAAAGACCTTGGCTCTACCCTCTCAAGCTCCCTTGGCCGTCCCACCGAACCCCTCGCCGTGGTACGGCATGTACTCTGCCTCCCATCCTGCTGTCGTTGCTCCTATGGTGAGAAACTTGCTTTCCTCTTCCTCTCTTGCCTCTCACCTCCGTGCTCTTTGAACAGACCAACATGGCAGTACAACCTTTGTTCCAAGGACCTCCGGCATGGGGCCAGCCGGAGCGAAGAAAGCAGGAGGTCTTCACGCGCATTCTGAGCAGGCACACCCCAGTTAGCTACTCTCATCCTGAGACTATGAGCATCTTCACCAAGTCGGGGAGTGGGAGGGAGGCGGAAGTTCGGTATGGCCAGCAGTCGCCCCTCCCCTTCGCTACCTTTGCACAGCCTTCTCCTCGTCGTACCTGGCCTGCTATAACCCACCCCCTTCCTGCCCTGAAGCCTCTCAACATGGAGCCGTTTCAGCGCTCGAGCTCCTTTGGCTTCGGTCCTTCGATTCAAGTTCGAATCACGAAGCACACAGGAGAGAGTTCGCAGACTGCGACAGATGCGGCGAGTGTGGAAGCTGCGGAGATGGCAGCGAAGACGGATGTAGCAACAGTAGAAGAGGCGAACAAGGCTGATACAACAATGGAGACAGGGAAGAGTGCAGGAGGAGGAGGAGGTGGTGGAGAAGAACCTTCATCAGCTAGTGCACAGCCTTCATCCGATCCTGCCCCTGCCCCTGCCCCTGCCCCTGCCCCTGCCCCTGCCCCTGCCCCTGCTCCAATGGACTCCGAAGCTTCTGTGAGCGATGGGTTAGCGAAGCAAGATGAAGGGAAGGAGGACGTGAAGATGCGTGCGAGGTCGAGTCAACTTTTGGGTGGAAGGAAGGGGATGATGCATCAACTAAACAACGATCATTCTACTTCTGTCCTCGTACCTCAGGGCAAGCATGCAGGTAAGCATTCCCTCCTTTTCTCTCCCTTGCTCCTCCTTCTGCTCTTAATCATCTGCACTCTTCTGCCTCCTCCTGCACAAATTCTGTGTCAAAGCTGATGGAGAGCAGGAGATTTCTTCTCTGCAGAAGTTGCGGGACAGGGTCCCATGTTGGTTGAAGTGCCTGACGGCGCGAGACCTGGTGATCGACTTTATCTAACGCAGGTAGACCTTGCTGCTGCTGCTGCTCCTGCTGCTGCTATTGCTCCATTTCCTGCTTCTTCTTCTCCTCTCATTGTCCTCCCCCTCCGTTTGTTTCTCTCTTATTTCTCCTACCCCTTCTCTCGTTCCTGTCGTCCTCACGCTCACTCAGGTTCCAACTGGCGCTGGCGAAACTTTGGAATGGGTGTTGAACAAGAATGAGGTGCGGCTCCCGTCCTCCTCGTCGTCCTCGTCCTCGTCCTTGTTCTCCTCTCTTCCTCTTCTTCCTCCTCCTCTTACGCCCCTACAGCAGCAGCCGAGCATGGAGGGCATTGAGGTCAGCAGAGCGGTGCAGGATCGAAAGGTGAGGACGTCGTGGCCTCAGCACCGCTGACCAGCAGTTGTCGCAGGATGCGAACGCACGGGAGACTGTAAATAGCGGGTGGGAGTGGGGGAGTGAAGCGAGGAAGGAGGAGGGGGAGGGGGAGGGGGACGGGGTGTCTGGTCTTGGGCTCTTCTAGTCTCTGCCTTTCCCCTCTCGACTTCTACAACTGTTATTCTTTTATATAAGATGTGAAACTTGCAGCGGAACTTTCGCGACTTTTGAATCAGCAGTATCTTTCACAGAATATCGCGCGGTAAGAATCTATCAGCATCTCGTCTATAGCCAGCAGGTAAAGAAGGAGGAGGAGATGGTGGAGAGGCGAGGCGAGGAGCGGGCGGGTGGGGGCGGCTGAGGATGAGGAAGACGGAGGTAGGCGAGCACAAAGGCATACTGGCAGGCGAAGGGAGTGCGTTAATCTGACGTCCATCTACTGGATGCTGCATCCCTTTGACCCGGCCTTCTTCGCGGTCTCTGCCTCCAACCTTGCAAGGTCCAGCTGACCCTTGAGCTGGATAATCTCTTCCTTGTACTTGGAGTTCTCGCCCTGCAGCTCGATGATCTTCTTGAGATGCTCCTCGTTGTCGGGCGTCTGCTGCTGTGACTTCCATGCTTGCTCCTTCTCTGCCAGCTCTGCCTTGTGCTTCTCCTCTTGCTCCCGTGCAAGGCTTCGTGCTTTCTCCTCTGCAGCTTTTGCCTCCACCAGCTCTGCCTCTTTCTTCGCCAGGAGCGCCCGAGCTTCCTCCAGCTGCTTGTCCTGATCAGCCTGGCCTGACGAGTTGCCCTCAGTTGAGGGTTGATCGGCTGCCTTGCTCTCGAGTATCTTGATCTTCGTCTGCAGCTCATCGACCATGGCGGCTTTACTGCGCAGCTCCTTCACCTCCTCCTCCAACCCAGATGCTTCACCCTGACTAGCAGGTCCTCCGCCTTCACTTGGTTTGCTCGCCTCCAGCTCTTTGATCTTCTCCTGCAGCTTGCCGATCGTGGCAGCATGCTCCTCAGATGCCTTCAACGCCGCGTCCTTGGCTGCAATCTGCTTCATGGCTTCCTCAAGCTTCGCCGAGAGCTCCCCTGCGTCGCCTCCCCCTCCTTCCTGCACCTCCGGAGTTGCTGAGCTGGTGCTGGCAGCTTGCTCGAGCTTCTTGCTCGAGTTCTGAGCGGCGTCAACGATGGTCTGAACATCGAAACCGGCATCGGCCAGAAGGTTTGCAATCTCGAGGAGGAAGGACTCGGTGGCCTCGCTGTTGTTACCAGCCACCACGCTCCTCTCCAGCACCTTGCCCATGATGTCGTCGCTTCTCTCCTTGTCGTCCGTCATCTTCTTGAAGTTAGCCTGTAGCTCCTCAACTTGCTGCATGCTCAACATCTTCTTTCGCTGCACCGAAGTGCCCGACTTGTCCTCCTGAAGGCCGAAGACGTGAAAGTACGCGCTGCCTGTTTCGAGGAAGTGGAGGAGGATGTCGTCGACTTTCTCCCAGGTGATCTGCTTCTTGAAGTCGAAGTTGGGATTCATGGTGTCCCTCACGCTGTGAGTGTAATACCTCCCGTCTTCTCTCTCTGGATTGTGAGCCTTGGGAAACTCGAACTCGATGTAAACTTCTGACGAAAACTTCTTGTTGATTCCTCTGGCATACGACACAGTCACAAGCACATCCAATCGGCGACCCAGCAGATCCTTCGGGTTTTCCACGTCGTCATAGATCCCGTCTTCTTCTTCCTCATCCACAATAGCCCCGTCTGGCTTGCAGGGTTCAATCTTGACATGCATGATACCGGCTTGCTGGGAATCATAGTAGATCGCATAGTCGTCTTCTGCAGGCATGCAGAAACTCAGCGGCTTCAGGTAAATGGTGCTGTATCCGATGTTCATAGGCTCGATCGGATCCCAGAAAGGATCCTGATCGCCGTTGAATAGACTTGGGTCCAACGTGCCTTCCAGGTACTTGGAGTAGAGCTCTCGCATTAGATAAACCCGGTTGATGAACTTGTCTTTCTCCCAGATGAACTCTGCTGACGTCACCTCATTAATCACCTTGACCATCACAACTGAGACCGTCCCTTCTGTCTTGTGCATAACAGATGTGACTTTAGTTTCGAAGTTGATGTCGCGCTTGAGCTCTGAACTGAGAGCATTAGCTTCCTGTACTCGTGGCATAACTTGTACAAGTTCATCGTTCAGGAGGGCTCTCCTCTTCTCCTCCTCTGTCATAGCCGCCCAGTTCACATCCACATTGAGACCTTGTGCCTTGGCGATCTCTCGCTGGAACATGTCCCACGTAACTTCAGGCCATCCTTCTTCTGGCGGTGAAGTATCCCTCTCCGAAGGGTGCACAACAACAAAGTAGTAGTTGGTTCCGATAAGGAGCCTGTCGTTGTGATGAAGTTCAAGGTCGCTCTTGCCAGTGACGTCAGCACCATTGAGCAGAACTTTGCACTGCAAACAACGTATCAGAACTCCAACGATGGAAGCGAGGGAAGCCAAGACCTCTTCACGTACTCCCATGATCAGCTTGCCGTCAGTATTTGTAACACGACAATGATCGGGTCGGATGCTGACGCCTCCCAACAATATCTCTTCCTGCAAAGATGGGTCGACATGATCAGCTACTAGGTCCGAGACTGAACGGATCACCTCTCCAGGACGGTCGCGATTTCCGATATTGATCTCTTCGCCCAAAGGGAAGAAGTAACAGATCGCCCTGGACAAGACTGGGTCCTCGTTGATATTGAGAATATGCGGCTCAGTCTGCGTGAGATCATGTCAACGTTTCTCCTCCTGGCCGTCTCATATCGTACCTCGCGGCGCTTTTGCTCGGATTGCGCGCTCCCTCCTTCGGCAGCAGCCTGCCCAATGGTCAAGGAAAGCAGAGAAGCAAGGAGGGAGGGTTGGGAAGCATGGCATCCTGACCTTCTCTTGCGCCTCCTTGAGCTTCTCCTCCCAACTCTGAAAGTTGCCATCATCCTTGGGCCAACTGCAAGCACACCAATAGCCACCTTGGACATCTCGGCCAGCATCTTCTCATTCTCTGCCATTTTAGCCGCCATTTCGTCTTCCAACTGTGAACGTACACCAGTGAGTGACCTCATTCTCGGGCGTCAGGATCAGACCTGCTTCTTCATCGCTTCTTTCTCTTCCTCTGTCATGACAGTTCCTGGTGGACCTCCACCAGTGCCCATCTGCTGCTTCAATCTCTCGTTCTGTTTCACCAGTGAACCAGACTTCATTGGTGGTCGCATGCTCTCACCTCCTCCTTGAGCTGCTGGATCAACATTTCGGTTGGATCGATGTTGACCTGCAAGGCTATCAGCAGACTTCTTGCTGTCGGGTAAGATGACCTTTGGTTTATTCTTGATCTGCTTGGCTCGATCAGCATATCGGAGTGTGCCCACCGTCTGTTTGAATTGCATCACAGAGCAGCTCCTTCGGATCGTTGAGCACCTCTTCAAAATTAATGTCTGCTGGAGAGATAGCGCAAACCTGCAAATACAGATAAGCCAACTATTACAAGGTGGATTTCAAGCCTCACCATGATCGTTTTTGAGTTGCCACCAAGGGCATCTTGCAGGATGCAAGTCAATTTCGAGTCTCGATATCTGATTAGCGTCGAGTCCAAGATTAATATCGAAAAAAACTTTTTGTATATATCAGTCATACGGGATGAGAACTTTCTTGTTAGGATTGTTCGACCTCTCAGCCAACGCAGTGATCACATTTCCTTAAAACCATCTGTGAGGATGCGAGGAAACAACAATCCTGGCTGTATACCTAACATAGTGAGTGAAAGGTTGATCGCTGCGCCTTCTTTCAATCGATCTCCTGTTGCTCCTGTGCTCTCTGCACGTTCGGAGCCCGCAAGGTCAACAAGATTCATTTTGGCCTGCAGCCCTTCATCATCAGTGGGATCTATTGAACAAGGCGCTGACCTTCTTCTCAGAATGTTTCCCTGGGCCCTTTGCGTTCAGTTCCAACTGTATTTGTTTGTTAGAATATCATGCATTCTATCCCTGAGACGTTGCCTGAGTGTATGTGATCGTCACTACTGTATGTGCCCTAGAAGACGTGGCATTCATGTTTGTGGACGCAACGGTCCTGTTTTTGGTTGCTGCAGGGCAATGGTTGACAGATTGAACAATGCAAACATGCCTCAGAACCTGTTTCAATGCGTTCATCGATCTCTTGGTAGCTGAAAAATCAAGTTCGGTCAAGTTGGGTCAAGCAAAATGCTTTTTACCTCCCAACCGGCCATTCTGTCAAGCCGACTACTTCGACCCCACTTTTCGGATTCATGCGTACCTTGAAGGTATTTTAGAGCATGAAGAAGAGATGTGAACCTACTTTGAGTCCGCCAGATGGATTCGTTTTGGAGAATAGATCTCGAACCTGAGAGGAAAAATATTAAAAATTCATGACACAAGGAATGGGAGTTTTACCTGTTCGTTATAAATTTCCAACATTTGAATCGTAACTTGAAACTGTGCAAGGAGTCAAGTCAAATCCAAACATGAAGTAGAAGAGCAATTTCCGAAAATGAAGTGAAAGCATAAATAAGGGAAACACAGACTCCAGAAATCGGTTGGACCTGATATTTGTCTGGACTTGAAGCCTTTTGCTCTTCGATTCTCTTGAAGATCTCATCACAAGATATTGGAACAATTCCTAATCCATGGACTATCAGCGTTGAAGATAATGCTTAAGTTTAGAATAACCTTTGTTGACACCATAGCCAACCATACTATACGATTTTCCTGCACCCGTTTGCCCATACGCAAACAAGCTGAAATGGGCATCAAGATCCATAAAAATCTTTGATAATGCAAAGTACCAAGAATTATATCCCTCATATGCATTGTTTAGAACGCCCTAGGTAAAGCTTACACTCTTCCACACGGCTATGGCTTTCAATGACCTGTCCGAGGTCATCGAAAACCTTCTTCTGATCAGCATATGTAGCACCATCAGTCCCCTGCAAATAAACATAATTGGTCAGGAAACAATCTCCCGAGGGATTCTCAGAGTTGTTCAGAAAATGTGTGTCTTACTCACCATTCCTTCTCCACCACACTCATTATATCCGTCCGGACGCATTCGTTCCCTGGGGATTTCAATCCAACTCACCGAAACAGCACAGTTATCATACCCATCATGGGACCAGTAGCTGAAATCGAACGTGAAGCTCTTATCTTTGCCATCTTCTGGGTTGATCACCGTTGTCGTGGGTCCTAGATAGCATTTCAGACCCAGCTCACTTCTATGACATCGAGTCTTTCACAGACCCAACATTCTGACGCATAGTTTTGAGTCTCTGTCCTTCTCACGCTGCAAAACGGCACCATCACCTCGGAACTTACATCGTGTCATTGTCTATACCTGATTGAAAGGCCTAACTCGAACGGCAACTCGGACACTCTCCCCGTCAGCCATCCTGCTTGATTACGCGCGGCTTCTATAGCAAGATTTACCAATCCGTGAAATCCAAACTCTGAAGCAGATCAAATCAGACTCTATGTTGAACATCATAGCGGCTCTTGAAAAGTATCAAAGCACGCAGCGTGTGTATGACATCCCAACACTTGAAAATAGCCCAACGCCCCAAGTAGACTAACTTCCTGTTTTGCACTTCCACACAGAGGTAAACGATGACGTATTGTTCCATAGCAAGTTATGCAGCTATACCGATCAGCAATGCTTCGCTTGATCTATCCTGACAACATCTCCTTCCCCACGTCCCCACCTCCCTGTGTGCCTGTCTCCTTGCTCCCCACCAACTCAGCAGTACATGGCGCGAAGTCTCCTGGTGGGTAAGGGATTGGATGGGGTACTATGGACAAAACACCTTTCGGCAGGGGGTAGGGGTTGACTTTTAGAGGCATTCACCCCTACTTTGACCACTCCATGTAGGGGTCATAAGTAATCATTATGATCGCTCTGTGCAATGGTAGGGTGATGAAATTCGAACCCGTGGGGTAGTAAACCAAAGCTAGGTGGTGGGGTGGTGGTTTTCAATGATGGGGTTGGTGTATGCGACGTAGGGTTATCCCAAAGGATTGAATCGAAAACCAGATATTGTAGGGTACTCTGCATTAGAAAGTAGGGGTACAAACGGAAATTGTGGCTAAAATACTTTGGAAGACAGTAGGGTGGGGTGATTATTTGGGGGGTTGAACGAGATCTATGGGGGTCTGGTCGCTCCTGCATAGGGGTGGGTGCAGAGTCTGGCGGTTGGAAAACGGCCGATTTGCTAGGAGATACAAAAGGCAGCGAATTTTTGGACTATCAAAGGAAAAGCTGTCCTTGTTGACTTCCTCTGTCGGACGACGGCGGGGGCCCAGCGGGCCCGCCGGCAAGACCCGGCCCGCCGGGTGCCAGAGTCACTGGCTGACCGGCCCCGGCCTCAGATTCCGGTACGGCCGCGTCACCCGGGCCGTGGCACCGTCACGTTTTAGCCAGTCCGAACGGTTCTCTCAATGGTCGATCGGACCGTGCTGATACGGCGGTACCGTACGGTCACCGTGGTTACACCGGCGGTGATCGGACTCCGAGCAGCCTCAACACTGTCACAAATTTCAACTGCGTAGTACGTAGTTGAAATTTGAAACTGACGCGCCCGGCCCGGCCTGTGACGGAGCGCGGTTAAAACTCGAGACGGGGAGTTATAAATGACTGGGGGCGAAGGGGGAGGGCCGCGCGCTGGTGTAGGCCTGGTGGTCGCAATGCAGAACTTCGGGGGATTCCCTGAGGTCCGAGGGAGGGGTGGGGTAGTCAAGTAACTGGTCGGGGGGGCCTGGTGGGGGCGAAATGGTATGGGGATAACTAATAAGTAGTTTTAAGATGGTGAAAATAGTCATTTTGAGCAGAAGTGACTCCTCAAATTATCGATAAAATATCTTTTCGTCTTTGGATCAATCCAATAAGTGATTTAAAAGTCCCTTCATTGAGATATTGGGCAAAGGGGGGGTGGGGGTGATCCCCGATTGGAGGCTGGAAAAAATTGAACCTTGGGGGTGGGGTATACAAATCGTGGGGTGGTCGAGAAGGGTGTATCTAGCTTGTTGCAGGGGTCTTCTCAGTACCCCTGATTTTCCCTAAAAATACCCGGACTTTTCCCTGAAAAATGTGCGGAGCAGGCGCAATTAGCACTTTACAGTAGGGTAGGTGGTTGACAATGAAGGGCCGAGGTGGTAGGGGTGTGCTATGAGCAGGGTATAAAAGGGAAGGGGTGGAAAAAGTTTGTCGGAGCACCATGGCACCAGGAGGCGCAAGGTAAGTGCATGTCGTGAAGGCGGCGGTGGCAGAAGCGGTGGAGGAGAGGAGAACACGGAAAGTGCTTGAGAAACAAAAGAAAATAAGTTTGATATGGCTAATGGAGTGATTGAAAGCATAGAGTTGGTGAGGATCTTGATGATTTAGATTAATTTTTGCAAGGATCTGTACGACAAGATCCTTTGATATGTTCATGTTGATTTCAAGACGTGCAGTAGACAGCAAGTGTACGTGTTTTCGTGGCGAGACGTGAGAAACCAAGATTGAAACTTGGATGTTTGTAGGTCAGCTCAAGCAGCTGCTCGCAAGCTGCACATTTCTTCTAGACTTCTTTCAGAGCAAAAGTATGGTTGGTCGCATAGCGAGCCGACTGCTCGTTCATCCTTCGACATGCCTGCACCGGTGCGTCGAGTTGAGTGAAGTTACTTTTGTTCTGACGATGCAACCAGGGCTTCGGGGATTCAAAGAAGTCTAAGTTTGCCACCCCACCTCCTGGAAGTGCTTGGGCACCTTTTGGGATCAGATCTGATAGCAAGAACCCGCGTCACATGATCTCACACGAACAGCGAGTAAAGCAGATCGAAGCTTGGATGTTCTCGGATCGATTCAAGCGCACTTTCCGAAACTACAATGGAGAGGACGTGGCTAGGCTTCGAGGATCCGTGGAATGGCCTCGCCCGGCGTCATCCCTTACAGCCGCCAAGTTGTTCGAGCTTATCAAGAGCCTCCGAGAGCAGGACAGATGCACAGTGACGTTTGGATGCCTGGATGTCGCTCAGCTCACGCAGATGGTTCAGTTTGCCGAGACCATCTACGTGTCAGGTTGGCAGGCTTCCTCCCATCACTCCACTCTCATGGAGCCTGGCCCTGATCTCGCCGATTATCCCTTCGACACTGTCCCTAAGCACGTGGAGAGATTGTTCCGAGCTCAGCAGTTTCATGACCGGAAACAATTCGAAGCGCAATGGACCAAGGGAAGCTTCGACAAGGGGATCGATTACCTCCGCCCTATCATCGCCGACGGAGACACCGGGCATGGTGGCATGACGGCCGTGATGCGCCTCACCAAGTCCATGGTGGAATCCGGAGCGTCTGGGATCCACTTCGAGGACCAGAAGCACGGAGCGAAGAAATGCGGACACATGGGAGGAAAGGTGCTGGTGTCCACAAGGGAGCACATCGACCGTCTTATGGCTGCCCGCCTGCAGTGCGACATCCTCGGAGCAGACACCGTCCTTGTTGCGCGTACAGATGCCGAAGCAGCCAAGCTGATCGAATCGAATCAGGATCCGAGGGATCATGTCTTCATCCAGGGCACCACTGACCCCAAGGCGAAGCCTTACAGAAACGCAGAGTCACCTGCTGAGGTGGCGGCATGGAAGGAGCAGCACCCAGTCATGACGTACCATAAAGCTGTGCTGCGGGAGCTCAAGGCCAAGGGCGCCGAGGATTGGAAGTTGGAAAAGTGGAACAAAGAGAACTCCGCGTTCCCTGGCATCGCACACGAGGACGCGCGGATCCTTGCGAAGGAGCTGTTGGGAGGTCAGGACATCTTCTGGTGCTGGGAGCTTCCTCGGACCCGAGAAGGCTACTTTGCCATGCAGCCCGGCATCGACAGCTGCATCCATCGCCTCCGACACTTCGCTCCTTACGCTGACATCCTGTGGGCCGAGACCGCCAAGCCTATCCTCGCCGACGCCCAGAAGCTCTCCAAGGGGCTCGAAGACGTGTATGGGCAGGGCCAGAAGCCGTACCTCGCCTACAACCTCTCTCCTTCCTTCAACTGGGACGCGGCCGGCATGACGGATGCGGAGATGCACAACTTCTGCAAGGAGCTCGGAAAGCTCGGGTTCGTGTGGCAGTTCGTGACCCTCGCAGGCTTCCACATCTCCTCCCTTAGCGCCAACCGGCTATGCCGCACCCTTGTGGAGGAGCAGTCGATGCTCGGATACGTGGAGGGTGTGCAGAGACCTGAGTCGGAGGAGGAAGTCGACACGCTGACGCACCAGAAGTGGTCGGGTGCTGATCTCATCGACCGAACGCTCCAGACGATGTACGGTGTTGGTTTCTCTACCGCCATCCAGGGTGAAGAATGCACTGAGAAGCAGTTCGGTAAGAAGAGCGAGAAGTGAACGGGTGAGGAGGGGAGATAGTAGAGTGTACGTGTGACAAAATAAACCCTAATAACTTCATGTCGTCTTGTGGTATGAGTTGAGGGCGGGGAAATCTCATCTAGTTAATTTGAAGTGAATGTCCTCGACATTCTCAAAAGTTCTGCTTGCGAAAATCATGTGGAGAGCGCGAAATTCAAGTTTTGATCGTTTACTAGTCAAACTGGTCCCTCTCTCAGGTTGAAAATTCCTTGCGAAAGCATAGCAGAAGACCGAAACGGACTCTCGAGATTGCCAGCACTTAGAACAAAACTTTCTTCTTCTCCACTCCAGAAGCTGCGATGGGTCCCTACAAGCATCTAGTCAGTCGCACCCTCCGTCCTCCCTTCCTCCCTTTGGTTGGTTTATCTTTCACCACCTTCCCTTCCTCTCCCACTACTCTTCCCACTCCACATCCTTTCTGCATCCCCCGCATACTTCGTCTTCCCTCCTCACCTTGCCCATCTGCGTCGCTCGCAGGGTAGCCATCTCGATCGCAGTCTTCCCCCACCACCTGCAGCAAGTCAACCAGCCACCAGCTCCCGCAGCGAGAACGCACACTCCATGGTTGTTGTCTCCTGTTGCTCTAGCCTCAGCCTGCACAGGTTGAAGATCATGCATCCAGTAGACAGTGACCTGCTTCCCTTCCCCCACCCCGGGCCCCTTCCTCCTCCTCCTCCCCACTGCCTCCCATCTCCTTACCTGCTCCATAGTGTGGCATCCAAGGATTCCATTGAGCACGGGGATCCCAGTCTCGAGGCCGAGCTGGGGCAACATAAGAATCAGCGATCGCGGCCCGCTACAGCGAGCTGCTCTACCATCATGAGCGCGTCGGTAGCAGCGTCCTTGATCATGTCATAGTGGTCCGTCTCGCCCTTGACGAGGACCTGACGCCTCTGTTATCATCCGGCGAGCATGGCAACTCTTCGCTCACTCCAATGGCGATGATGGCGTCCACCTTCTGTGTCTGAGCCATGTAGCGGCAGGCAAGAGGCAGCTCCCAGGATCCTGGAACCTGACACGATGCTGCGTTACCACGATGAACATGAACATGAAGGTATCAGAGTTGTAGATGCGGATGCAGATGTAGATGTAGATGTAGATCAGACCCAAACTGAGAAGGGGCTGAGGAGTTGTGTTCACCTCGAACTCGACGACATTCGAGTCTTCGACTTGGCATTCTTTGAGACCAGCACTGCGAACCAGCGATCAGTAAGAAGACGGCACTGATGAGCCTGATGCGTCACCGAGCTCCATCCTTGAGCTTGTTCTGTTGAGGCAGGCATGGACCAACTTCAGCCTTGGTTCAAACGAGATGGACATATCTCACCACAACCTCGGCGTTCCATCGGGTAGAAACAATCCCAACTCTCATACCCTTGCCGTCGAGCTGACGCACGTCAGATGCAAACTTGAGGGCAGGCGTCTTTACCTGGGGGAAGGAGATGCCCTTAGTAGCCTGCTGTGCAACTGCTGGCACAGAGTGCTGCTTGTCCGAGAGGATAGCGGGAAGGTGGGCAGGCTTGAGAGGGCAAGGCTGCGACTTCCTGAGGGCCAAACGTCCTGACACAGACGATAAGGATGAAACGAGTGATGGTTACAGGAGAGAAAGTCGGAAGAAGAAAGAAGTGCAAAGCGAGAAGGTAAAATGGCATTGTTTTGCCATTGTTTATGGCAGAGAATACAAAAACAAAAGAAGGGACATCAGAAGGAGCAGAAGAATGAGAAGCTGGAGCAGGAAGAAGACATGTGACACCTGGGTTCAGGGACATGAGAAGGAGCAGGAGCAGGAGCAGGAGCAGTAGCAGGAGCAGGAGCAGGAGAATAAGGAGCAGGAGCAGGAGCAGGAGCAGGAGAATAAGGAGCAGGAGCAGGAGCAGGAGCAGGAAGAAGACATGTGACACCTGGGTTCAGGGAGGGAGCGAAGGCTGCTGCATGGCCGCAGACAGCAAGAGCGATGAGGATCCTTAGCATGGCGTGTCTGAGGAACTTCCTTGGGGTAGGGGTGATCGAGTGAAATGGGGGGTAGGGGGTACCATACTAGGGGTAGTCCGTTGTTGCAGATGGCGCAACAAGAAAGTTTCCTGAGTTTCCCCATACATTTGCCCAATTCACAACGAATTGACAATTCTGTTTGTGGGGGTGGGGTGCCATATTACATTTTATTGCATATTGTGGTATCCAAAAGGAGGTAAGGGTAGTGTTTGTAGGGGTAGGGGGTACTCATTCGAAGGACCCCCACCCTATCTAGGTGCTTTAGGTCACAACTCATACTTCCAGAGCCGGGGGGGCGGCGAGACCCGGGCGGGCCCGGCCACACTGCGAACGCCGGGGCGGGCCGCCGGTGACCGGGTCGGCCCCGCGCAGGAAACTTCTGCGTTGGTTCAAGCCACTGTTTCTGCCCGCTGCTGTCGGGCCGGCAGACGGCCCAGTCACTCGGAAGCCGCCGGCCCGGTCCAGCCCGGGTCCGACCGAGTCCCGGACCGTGATTTTCAGCCCGGCTTGAACCGGCGGTGAGGGGCCCGGGGCCGGTGGACGACGGCAGTGTCACTGACAGTAGTGAGTCACATCCAAAACTTTCACTGAGGCGGGCTGGTCAACGAAAATCCCTGGCAGTGCCTTGCATGGCAATGCGACTGTGCAGGAGGTTAGTGCGGCAGGCGAGGGAGGGTATCAAGGCCGATGGCAGGTAGCGCGACGATCAGCATGCAGCCATGATAGCGAAGTGACGAGAACATGTTCATGACGAAACGCAGCTACAAACGGACATAAGGGCATGGGGGCAGTGGGGTTGGTAGTCGTGTTGTCTCTGGTATCGCAGCTTCATGGTTGCGGTGTTGATTCCGTGCAATGCGCTGGTCTCACTTCTCACGCACACGCGCCCTTTCTGAGCCTTCGGGGAGGGTCCAGTTCGGACGAGATGGATCTGAAGTTTTCGGAGGAGGAGACCATGTCTTTGGGGAGAGACACAGAATCGGATGCGATGAGGATAGAGCAGAACTATGGCGTTGAGGTCCCACGAGCCCTCATGGGCCATCGACAACTGGTGAGCGTTTGCTGGAGTGCTGCTGGAAGTGATAGTGGTCGACCAGGTTAGTGACGTCACGGGGCCGCAATATCTCAGGAGAAAGGATGGCGAGATCGTTGCGGACAACGGCATCGACTCGGAGCACAGGCATCCGTACCGCTACAAGGAATCTTACGACCAGCTTCCACCATGCAACACCCTCTACATCAGGAACTTGAGGGAGCGTGTGAAACCTAGGCGGATGCGAGAGGTGGAAGGTATATCTTGGGAGTTTCCTTCATGTGACCTCCGTCTTCATCAGCTCTTGTACGCTGTGTTCTCCCAGTACGGCAAGGTCAGAGGATGTCGACATCTTTGATACGTCTAACGGCTCGACCAAGATCCTCGACGTAAGGGCGCTCAAGACGCAGAAGATGCGAGGACAGGCCTTCGTGTGCTTCGACGAGCTGAAGGCGAGGGAGCAGCTGGAACATGTGCAGGGCCAGTCGATGCTGACGCCATGTGCTTGTCAGGATGCTGTGCATGCTAAGGAGGAGCTGAACGGATTTTCATTCTTGTGAAAGCGTGAAGAGGGGAGGGAGGGATGTTGATATCCCAGCAGGAACCGGACGCTAGTCATCCAGTTTGCCAAGAGTCCGAGTCATGCACACCTCAAGAAGGATGGAACTTACTCAGAGATGATGCAGCAGATCCGATCTGTACCTGCTGACGTCACCCGACGGCTCTGACAGCGGTGCAGGAGTACTGGTCCAATCACAGTTTGACTATCAGGAAGTCTGTGGAAACCGCCCTGGTGAAAGGTCCTCCAGCCCCGTGAAGTTTTGACCTGCTTCCTTGTTGCAGGAGTCGAAGGCGAACACCTCTTCCGTCGCTCAGCTCAACATCCTCGAGGACGACTGGCTCTTGTCGCAACACGGTGAGACCTGCGGCTGTTGATCAGCATGGTTGAGGTCGCTGCTGCCCCTAGGCTATAAGCTGAGCAAGGAGCCCTCTCGCCATCTCCTCATCACCAACTGCCCTGCCAACATCATCGAGCAGGTACCCGAGCTCAGCTGGGAAAGAAAGTGGAGCTGACAAGCCGCAAAGGACGTTTTGGATGTCCTCGGGCAGTTCGAGGGGCTGATCTCCGTGGAGAAGATCTCGGGAGTGAGTTGAGAGACTCCATCCCTCCTCCTCCTCCTCAACACTCCCTCTCAAAATGCGTCTCCATCTTCTTCCACAATCCTCTCTTCTACTTCACTCCCTCTCCTTCCCGCCTCCCCTCTGCTCCTCATCACGATCGCTGCAGGCTGTTGCGTTCATGGCTCACTACGAGGAGAAGGATACTGCGTACGTATCCTCTGCTTGCTGACCCCGTTGCCTGTCACACTTTCGCTCTGTAGGTCGGAGGCGACGGAGGCGCTGGAGGGATTCTTCTTTCCCGAGGAGCCGGACTTCATCATCCGCCTACACTACATCACCTCCCTTCACCAATGATGATGAGGCTCCGAAGGAGGAGGGAGGAGGGAGGAGGGAGGAGGGAGGAGGGAGGCTTCAGCAAGTTTTCTTCAACTTCAATCTGTTCGGGACGAGGTGAAAATGATAGACGAACCAGACGACGAAGAGGAAGAGGGCGATGGACCAACTGATGACAACAGAGAAGGGGAAAGGCTTCGAAAACTCATTGACGGCGATGCCGAACTTGACCCATATCATCGTCTCTGTGATGAGGATCATCCCTCCGAGCCATGCATGATGTCCGAGGCGCTTCACTTGCCTGCAGCAGATGAGGAGGAAACGTACGATGTAGAGCTCTCACCTGTTCGTCGAGTACTCGTAGAACTCTCGTACTGCACACATGCCTAGAAGCCACCAGAGGACGAGCCGGTAGGTGTTGAGAGGGTTTCGGGGTGGAATCTGCAGATGGGGACTCAACGAGATGGAGGGAGGGGGATGACAGGCGGAAGGAGAGCAGCAGCCAAGGCGATTGAGGGAGGGCGAGAGTGACTCAGTTGACAGTGTGGGGTGAAGGAACGGGAGTAGGAGCGAGAGATGGAGGGAGATGGAGAGAATGGAGGGAGTTGGAGTGGGGAGTCCAGTAGGGTCAAGCAACAGGAAGAGACACGCTGAAGTTCCTGTGCGTACCCAGAGGATAAACTTGAGAGCAAAGGCGTTAAAATCGCAGAGGAGGATGCAGGCATAAGTGAGGATAACCACCTACAGGTACTAGTCACTTCCCCCTCCCGGCCCCCTACAAAGAAAATCACCAGCAGACGTTTGGGGCTCTCCAGGGCATCCCAGTGGTAAGTGTCCCACGACTCAGGGGAGAACTGGAAGGAAACGACGTACAGTCATACATGTGCTCTGGTCCTCTTTCCCTCATCCCCTTCCCCTTCCTCATGATTCACTTTCAACCTTCGATGCTTCACCTTCCAATTCCATTCAACCCCCCAAGCCCCCCCCCCCCCCGCCTCCCTGCTCTCAACATTCTTCGCTCCGTACTTCCCATAGGACCTCTCTCACCTGCCCAAGGACGCGGAGAAATTTACCCTCGGGTGTTGGGATCTCCGATATGTGCATCCATCGATATTGCTTGACCTGGATTACATATGATGACAACGACAACGACGATCGGCTGGAAGAGCAGGGAGTACCGAGAGCCAGTGCATGAACAGATGGCCAAGGATGATCCCGAGGAGATTGCAAGTCATCACATCCAAGATGATGTGATCCCACCAACACTCGGCAAAGTTGGGCATCCAATGCTGCAGATCGATTCAAGGTCTGGCCACTGTCTTTCGTTCCCTCCTCTACCTCGAACGACATCTCGACAAACTCGAACACGATGCTGTTGATCCATGCTGCCCCCGCATGCCTGATGATCAAGGCCTTTCCCCACCTTCTTTACATGTCAACGTGTCGGTGATCGAACTCTCGTCTCCTCACCAGCCAAGAACGTGCGCAACCACGAATTCGTCTTGGATCGCATCCTGCCATGCAACTTCAGCCAACCTTCTCCTCCTCCAAGCACACTTGCCTGTAGATTCGCAAAGCACGGCTCCTCTCCCTTGGATCGATCAGCCCACCACCTTCCACACGTCAGATGAATGAGAGGTCGCCAGCAAGAAATCCAAGTACTTGCACGATGGACCGCCGGTCATGACTCGACAGTCATCAGCATACGATCTCTCGGGCAGGGGCTAGGAGCTCCGTCAGGACCCATGGCCCATCATCAGCCTTGTCTCACCATCGACACGCCTTGATCTTTCCCTATCATCGTCGCTTGGCTGCAGGTGTGCAAACCATTCCTGCACGGATCGACGTAGCTGCCCCAAACATCAATCACACAGGGGGCGGAAGGATCAGGCTCACGTGACGAGCGTTCTGGCATCGTGCACTGTTTGAAACAAGATGAAGGTGAGGACCATCAGGTAGAGGATGGAGGCGCCAGCGATAAGGCGCCAGAAAAGGGGATGCGGCCTGCGAGCGAGTCAAGTAAAACGACTGGTATGTGAAGCTGCTTACCTTCTGAAGACGGATCGAGGAACTGGTGAGGGGAGAGAACAATACAGCAAGAAAGCACAGCATACTCCCAGAAGTCCCTGCAACCCCAGTTGATGCTAAGAAGTGTGTTGAAGAATGACTACCCTCTTCAGATTGACTTTGAATTCAGTTTCCCTGGTGTAGAATGCCGCATGAAATAGACCGACTGAATGAAGTGAGTGAGAAGAGAGAAAGATCATGATTCATGTTGGACTACAATCATGTCATCTCCTCACTATCAGCGTATTCCAGGCACCATCACTTCGAGACATTGCTTGCGAATACTCTTCTCAAATTTATGGGACGGTACAAGCTCACCGGTTCCTGTCGATAGAGCAAGCAAGAAGTGCGGCTTGTAAAAGAATCTGCTGTACTTGTCGTGTTCCTCTGCTTCCTCCTCTCCCACATCCTCCTCTTCCTTCCTTCTCTTGTCCTTCCCCTTCGTTTCCCTTCCGCTCATCGTATGCGCACCCTGCGACCCACCTCCACTTACCCCTACCCCACTATTCATATTTGCCATAACCGGTGGTCACATTCAAAATTCGATGTACCCACCCTCATTGAAACCTGAAAGGATCTTTGTACCGGTACCGGTAGCTGCCACTCACTGGCGCCGCCGGGGCGGCCGCCTCCGGGGCCGGGCCTGCGTGTCGGGATGTTTTACTCAAAGTTAAGTTACTATCAAAACCTCTTTACTCAAAGTTAAGTTCAGTACGAGAAACCAGTACGAGGACAATCACTGAGCCTGGCAGGAGGGTCGAGGAGGCCGGCGGCAGTTCCGATCCATACGGTCCCGGCCTGTCTATTGCTCTCCGATTGCAGTCGATGGTTTTTTACCTCAGGCTCAGTTAGGACTTGTCACTGGTGATGCGGGTATAGTCCAGCAACTGAGCGATAGTGCACTTAGGAGTAGAACAGATGAACAATGAAGCTAGATTTGTTTATGTACAGCAGTAAGAGAACACACGTCAATGTTCGTGCAATCCCATTCCGATGACGTGGCCAACGTCTAAGATGGGTTGCTTATATGTCGAGGTCAGGCTTAACCCGTAATACAGCAATGAGTAAACATGTGTATCGGTTTATACCAGCCTCATGCTTTCATCATACCAATGTGTTGTACGTACGTCTACGTCCAGTACACATCTTCGATTCTAGCATTATACACCTCGCCAGCGTACGTAGCCTCTTGCGACTACTCGCATGATGCTGCCATGTCCGTTACTGACGTAACGTCATGCGGGTGCAACATCACTCCCCCTTGCTCGAAACTTAGTGTCGTCACTGCGTGAGAGCATTGATTTATGCAACACTGTCCCGGAATCGACCCAACGGCTCCGATGCTGTATGAGGGTCTCCCTTTGACTCTTCGCGAACTAACCAACAAAATGCGAAAATGGCAGAAAGCCAAAATGCAAATGTGGCCCAGGACGGTGAGTTCCCAGTATGTTTCAGCGAATGACTTAGGTTCCAAAGTCATACATGCATTCATATGCCTTTCAGTGAGCATAACACGTCGTTTCCACATGCTTTTACGTTTCCTTCGTAGCATTTTGTGGATGCACGTGAGGAATTGCGTGTAGCATTTTTGAGGTAACGAGACGTTGTATTGCCTTTCACACACTGCTGATTGTGTGGGGTAAGCAATTCCAAACCCTGATGTAGCTTTTCGCATCATCAACTAGCTTCAATGGAAGTTTAGAGCAGCTATGTAGCTTTTGCTACACGCCGGTTACCCACGGTGGTGAGTTAACGAAGAGTACGTTTCCATGTTTCAAAAGAAATCATGTTACGCGCCATCGCCCTGATTAGCAATCATGTTTCCATGTCACCAAATCAGCCCATGTACTATGGGGAAGCTGTGCTATGAAACTCTTACTCCTTTCTCCCATATCCATTTGCGTTTGCAAGCAACTATCACTACCCTCTGAAGTCGCAATGCCCCAGGGATGCTCAAGTTGTGCCACATGCTTATGGTTTCGCTTGTACTATGCTACTCCCTGGTACTAGAACAGTCCAGAGGCGCTCAGCACTTCGCGTATGTGTCTTTGTCCTTCGAAGGATCTTAGACAAGTTTGAGAAAAGTTTATTCATTTTGAAAATTACCAAAGGTAATCATCGTATGAATTACTTTTTGTTTTCCTTTGATAGCGTGTTGCTTCAGGGAGGTTCAACAATTGGTCTCTTAGATAGAGAAACTGATCAGCGGGCAGCGGTTTTGTGAATATATCAGCAACTTGCTCGCTTGTATGAATTGCTTCCAAGGTGATCTCCTTGTTGGCAACGCATTGTCGTATGAAATGGTGTCTTCTCTTGATGTGTTTCGATCTGCTCTTGCTGACGGGATTCTCGCTGAGCTTGATGCAGGCGGCGTTGTCTTGATAGCGTTTCTTCGTAGGACTTGTGAGATATCTTGATAGCAATGATACTGCATAGCTGATTTCTGGTCTTGACCATGTTGCTATGTATATCAGACTTGCTACTTGGCTTCTGTAGATTTTGACTAAGTCTTCAGGCGCGTGCGGATCAACGTCTTCTGGTTCGATCACGAACTTGGGATCCATTGGCGTGGTGAATTTCCCTGTAGGGTCGATCCCCTCGAGGTTGAATCTTTTCAAACATTTTTCGATGTACGCTTGCTGGTTGCTGATGAAGTCTCCAGCTTCGTCCCTCTTGTACGCGACTCCCAGATAGAAGCTAAGATCGTTGTCAGTTGTTACGCTGTATCCTTTTGTGTTCATCATGAAGTCGTCGAACTTTGCAAATAGTGCTTGGCTGTTGCTAGCTTGGATGATGTCGTCGACTACTAACGCGATGATGATCTCTCCCCCTTGCTCGTCATGATATAGAAACAAACAATCATCTGACGTGCAGGCTTTGAAACCGAAATCGCGTAGGTCTTGGCAGAGCTTCTTCCAGAAGTTTCGACCTGATGAAGGAAGTCCATAGACTGAACTCAGGATCTTCAAGTATGCTGCTCTAATGTTGCAGAACTCTTGAAATTCCTTTGGGGTCCTGATATATACAACTGTAGGAAGTGGTGCCATCAGGTATGCAGTTGAGATGTCTTGACATCTGGCGTGCCATTTGTTTGCTCTGGCGATTGTCAGGAGGAGTCTGATCGTAACTGGGTTCGCTGTCGCTGAGAAGGAGTCGAGGTAATCGATCCCTTGTACCGCGTTGTAACCTTGTATGATCGCTCTTGCCTTGTATTTCAATACTTCTCCATTCGGTCCTCTTTTCCTTTTAAGGATGATTCTGCATCCGATTGCCTTTCTTCCGTCTGGGATGTTGTCAACTTCCTCGAATACTTTTAGTCCGTTCCATGATCGTGCCTCTGACTGAATTGCTGTTATCCAATGGTGTCTCTCTGGGTTGTTGTTGTTGAGAGCTTCTTTGATGCTTGGTTCGTCATTGTCAAACGCGATATGGCTGGTTGCCGACAACATGCCTGTGTAGAATAGTTGAGCTTTTTGTATCCTTGATTCTCTTCTTTCATCTTTCTTGCATCCTTGAAGAAAAGACATCAAGCTGTCGATTTCTTCGTTGTAATGATTTTCGTTGTACATGTTTCGTTGTGGTGGCCCGTGTGACCATGTCATGATTTTCTCTTCCAGGTTATTGTATGTGTCGATAAGTACTCCACAGTATTGTCGCTTCGTTAAGGTGCGATCTTGATAAGGGATGCCAAGGTTCGTAAGGAACTCTAGTGTGCTTCCTGATGGAAGTAGTGTCGCATTGATGAAGTCTTGATTGTCGAACTCTTCAATTCCTGCTGGAAGATCGTTGTCTTCGTGGTCTGAATTACTTGTCGGTGTGTCCACATTCGTTTTCTGTACAATTCGTCCTGACCTCAGTTGATGTTCAGGTATTTGGGTGAGTTTATCCCACTCAAAATCCTTTTCACCACTGTTGTAGGTTTCGACTTGAAGACTGGCTAGTTCACGGTTCATGTGCCCTCTTTCTGATAGGCCTGGATCCACCGCTACTTGTTCGTCTTGTGTGATATCACTCTCTCTTACAACTGATGTCTCAGAACAGGTTCTCGTGAGATGGTTGTCAACTTCAATAGCTTGTTGCCTCACTTGGATCACCATGGGATCATTGTGTGCTATGCCATGTTGTTGATCTGCAAACGGTTGTCGATTTCTCTCTTCAGGTTGGGCGCTGGAGTTTCCACCGGCATCTTCAGATTCTGAATCTGATGCGTCTGATGTATCTGACATTTCGATCAATCGTTCACCGGCTCTTTTGAGCACAATGACGTTGTCGTCGCCAAAATCATCAGTTCCGCCGTATGGTATTTTCCAAGATCTGTCCTCCGGGTGAGAAAATCTGTAGGGGAATACTTCTTCGTTGCTGCTGCCAAATAACCTTTCATTCCTAGGTGGTGGGCGAAGCCAAGAAACACGCAAACTTCTGCTGTTGGCTCGAGTTTTTTGTCTTTCTTTTGATCTAATCTTCTGTCCTTTAGGATATGAACGTAGCAGAGGCAACCGAATGGATGGAAGTGTTCTGCGTTTGGTGATGTGCCTGTAAACGCTTGGTAGCAACTGATGTTTGAGTTTCTGCTGGTAGGAAGGAATGCATTCTCGATCTCTGCGTTGTAATATATAGCGCTGAGCCAGAGATTTTTCGGAACGTTTGAGTGTACGATTGCCAATCTAGTCCTTGTATCTAACGAGTAGATTCCAGATTCAGCTCTTCCATTTTGCCAATGTTCATATGGTGCGCTTCTTTCTAGGTGGATGTTGTGCTTCTCGTACATCTTCAGTGATTTCTTTGAAACCATTTCGCTCCCATTGTCAACTCGAATCACTTTGGGGTAGACCCCATTGTTGAATCTCGTGACAACAAGTCGTAACGATTTCCTGTAACCTTTCTTGCTCGCTAAACCTACAGGCATCTTGAATCCTGAGAAGTCGTCTTTCCAGAGTTGGAGGTACTTTGCTCCTTCGATCGAGCGGACTCGATAGGAGCTCATATCCCCATGCAGCCTGTGAAATCTGACATCGGATCTTTTGTGTCTGAATTTTGGTAATGGAGCTGCCTTGGTTTTCGCTCTGCGGCATGTGTGACATGTCGGCAGGGGTGTCTTTGGATTGATTCTCTTCAATTCCTCCATGCCTTCGATGTTTTCTGCCAGTTGGAAAAGGTATTTCTTGCCGATGTGGTTGGTTCTTACGTGCCACTTGAGCAGAATCGCTGATGCTCTTGTTCCTTTGATGCGTTCTCCCGTTGAATATAGGTAAATATTCTTGAGATCTGACTTGTCATTCTTCAATTGTTCTTCGTATTCCTTGTCGTTTTCGTCAAGTTCTTCGATCGTTGTGTTTGTGAAGTCGTCAAAATCTGTAAATGATCTTGGGTCGTTGAGATACTCCTTGGTTTGCTGTTGAATCTCTTCCGTCGTGAATTGTCTTGCAGGTTCTAATGGAGTGTCGTCAGTAGTCATCAGCT